CATTTAATATAATTAAAGGAGAAAGACTGGATGCTTCCCCCCTAAGATCAAAAACAATATAAAAATTTGTGCTCTTATCACTTCTATTCAGCATTATACTGAAGGTTCTAGCCTAGGCAAAAAAATAATAACAAAAGGTATCCAGACTGCAAAATAAGTAAAACAATCTGCAGACAATGTGATTTTTCATATAGAAAATGCTAACGAATCCATGAACAAACTAATGGAACTTGAAAAGTTTAGTAAAGTTGCAGAATACAGGATTAATGTACAAAAATCAATTGTATTTGTATATACTTGAATAATCAAAAAGAAAATTAAGAAAACAATTCCATTTATAATATCAAAAAGAATGAAATAGGACTAATTCTGGTTAATTTTTCTTATTTTTTTGTAGAATTGGGATATTGTCATGTTACCCAGACTGGTCCTGGGCTCAAACAATTTTCTTACCATGGCATCCAAGGTGCTGGGATTACGAAAGATGATTAGATCTATAGTAATAAACCTAACATTTGTGAGTACTTACTACATCCTTATAAACTGCTTATCATAATCTCATTTAAAACTTGTAACAAGCTTATCAACATGAATACTTTTATTATTCCTACTGTATAGCGGAGGACATTAGGGACTGAGAATTACAAAGTCACAGAAATATAATGGTAAGTAGTAGAGCGAGGACTGAAATAATTCAAAAATCATGCATTTAAATCAGTATGCTATGTTGTCTGCATAATTATAATAAAATCTCATTTAACTACAGCAATTTAGCCTTATATGTTTTTAATAAGCCATAATTGTAGGAGATAAGCTCCCCTTGCTCAGACATGGCAGTTTGCTTCAATGTGCTCCTCCAGGAGATTAGTTCTGAGAAACATCTCTTTGAAGATCGAGCTTCTGTACCTGCCTATAGATATGCAGGAATATGCAGAGTGACTCTCTCTAGGAGGTGTGGAGAATCAGCCAGGGTAGCAGCTGGGGGTGAATAGACCAGTCTTCGAGCATTGGGTTCTATTCTCTGCCTTCCTCCTTCATTAACATTATAATCCCTAGTTCGGTTTGGGCTAGCAAGGACAGACAGCCAGTCTCTCTTATGTTTTTACTCTAAACAAAATCAATTGTATATGTGTTCCTCAGCCTTCACACTAAATTGTAATCATTTTTTTGATGAATGGTAGCTTCCTAATGTTACTTCACTTCTTTGTATATGTGTTAAATTCTTACTGAATGTTTGAAAGTATATAAGGTAATCAGTAAAGTTTAGCCGGGCCGCCGACCAGAGTGAGTCTCAGCCTCCCTTTGATTATCATTCCGTCTAAAGTTCTTTTCCCGCGTCTCCGATCAGAGGCTCCAAAGAACACACCATCACATAATTCTTATATTTCTTTGCTTACTTTATTATAATGGGTTTGCTTTCCTTAAATTCTTATAATTAATTGCCTATTGAAGGAGGTAGCCTAGTCTTCTAAATAGAAGTTCAAATGATTTTAAAAGGCATGAAAAAAAAAATTACCTCTCCAGCCACCCTATTCCCCTCACCATTCTGCCCCAGTCCTATTGCGACTTCCAAGCCATAATGAAACCCTTTGTTCCACTAATATTGAAAAACGGGCCGCTTAGTGATGAGGCAAACATGGCTCTTTTTCAATTACAAGTGACCCCAACCTCACATACTGTTTATTCTGCAAGGCAACTCCCTCCTCTTCTTCTTCCCCCAATTTGACCTGGAATTTTATTTAATCCTTACCAACCTTCAAAAACCACTTTAGGTATGGGTTTTCTGGGTAAGTTTTCAACCTGACCTTGTATATATTTCTCTTGCATTTACTTCAATCATAGAATTTATCATACTTTAGTATAATAGTTATTATACAAATAATTATTTTTTGTGCCCTTAAATGTACCAGCAAAATATCTAGCAACCAAAATTTTTAAAAGGCTATTTGATGGGAGAGAAAAAGTTTGATATGGTTACTTAAAAAGTAGTTTATAGAGTTGACTGCAACTATGTATACATCAATAGTGTAATTGAAAACTGTGAGTTTAAATACCTATGTTATTCAACTTGACAACTGATGACAAAAAGTTATGTTCTTTTAATTTTTAAATGACACATTAGTATAAGAAGTTCTAGAATAAGACTCATTTGATAATTATCTTAAAGGAATTTAACATTTTATTTTTCTTATTAAAAAAGCAGTTCATTTTTTCAAAGACAAGTATGCTGATCAGAAAAGGATAAAAATGAGTAAACTGGTGAGATACCTTGACAAGGTTTGTCATTGGTTATCATGTAAACTATCTAAGTCATATTACTAGTCGTCAGCCAAACAGTTGATCTCTTTCAAATCTCTAAGAAACACATTTGTCATTTTTTTCCCCTCTTTGATGTTACTGTCTAAGATTATGCCCTACCATATTAGCTTATTATAACTACTCTTTTACTCATGAACATAGTTAAATGTTACCAAATATCTTTTGTAGCTCTAACCACCTTATGAATTGAGTACAGGCAGTCCCCCAGGTTATGAATGAGATAGGTAATTTACTTGTTAGCCGTAATGGCTTCTATGCATGTAAGTTTGAGTTGTAAGTTAAGGCGGATGTTTATAACTTGGAGATTATTCAATATGAAATATCCAATTTCAAATCAAAAGCCTAGCTTATTATATCCCAAACAAGAAGTAGTATGATTAACCAAACTAGGGAAACAATTTGCCATCTTAATGGTAGCTTGTTTATGCCAGCAGCAAAGAAGCCTAGAGAGCAAGTGGTGATCAAATTACTGAAGGCATTTTCCACGGCTTGTTAAGAATTGAATATTTTTCCTTGCAAGAAGTAGACAAAAGCCTGAAAGACTAGTCAGTTGGTATAAGGTCTGGTGAACTGGTAGATGACAGAGAGTTTCCAAGTCCAAGTTAGGAAGTTGAACAGTGTTGTTTGGGCAACATGTGGTCAAATATTGTCTTATAAGAGGACTGGCCTATCTCTATTGACCAATCTCAGCTGCTTAATCACAAGCGTCCTCATCATCATTCCATTCAGACGGCTACAGTAGATATCTGCTGTAATTGACTAATCAGGTTTCATGATGTTGTACTGGATATTACCAGCGCTGGACCACCAAACAGATACCGTTAGCTTTTTTTGATGAATGTTCGGTTTTGGACTGCATTTTGGCACTTTATCTTTATTCAGTCATTGTGTTGAACACTTGTGATTGTTCAATTTTCATTACATGTAACAATATGGTGTCAAGATGTTCACCTTTATGTTGTGACAACAAACAAAGGCAACCATTAAGACACTTTCTCTTCTGATGCTCACATAATTCATGTAGAACCTATCTATCTAGCCTCTTTGCCAATTCATTTCAAATGGTCCAGTATTGCTGGAATAGTAATTTTAAACCTTGCTGCTAATTCATGAATAGATTGAGATGGATTCATCCACTTCAGCTTTCAGCTCATCATTATTCACACTGGTCTCAAGGTCATCACCATAACTCATTTTCAAGATTAAAATAACCAGAGCAAAATCTGTCAAACCATCAGCATATTGTGAGTTCATTAGCCACATCCTTCCCAAACACTTTGTTGATATTTTGAGCTGTCTGTGCTGCATTAGTTCCATGATGAAACTCATATTTGAAAATAACACAAATTTTTGAAACATCCATGGTTTCACAAAAATTGCTCTAGAAATTTCACAATAAAAATAAAACAAGAACTGTCAAAGTGAAATGTTAGAAATATCAACTGTCAAAGCAGTAAAGAAATCAAAACATTTCATACTTACTAACCTAAGAACTCAGGGATTGCCTGTAACGAGTTCTTCTGCTAAACTACAAATATTTTCCGGATTTAACTGAAAACCAGAAAATTATTTCTCTGAACTTAAGGGATGTCCCCCTCCCATTCTAAGAACTGAAAAATAAGCACATGATAATCACCTTGTCCATACAATTCATACAGTAATTACACATAGCAAATATGTCACTATATTTACATAACTGTTAATTTGTAAATTATAAAGAAGAAAGTTAATTTTTTTTTTCTACCTGTACAGGAATTAAATGTTTTGGATGAGAGTATGAACTACATTCTAATCTACCCTGGATTAAGTAACTGAGATGAAGAATTACATTCTATTCCACCCTGGGTTAAGTAACCAAGCAAGACACTACTTGCAGAGTGAAAAATTTAGACTAACAGAACTTTAAAAGATACAAAGAATCAAGAGAATTTTGAATTCTACTTCTTCTAAAAATCAAATGGCAATTAACTTTGTAAAAAATATAATTATAGAAAGACAATGAGATAATGCATAATGGTCCTTTCCCCTGATTATTCTGGAAAGATTAAAGAATATTATACTATAAAATGTTAAACCATTTTAAACTCTAGAAACCAATTTTCCTAAAATTCATTAGAAGTTCCAAAAGAGGCTCAGCGCCTGTGGCTCAACCGGCTAAGGCGCCAGCCACGTACACCTAAGGTGGCGGGTTCGAATCCCCAGCCCGGACCCGCCAAACAACAATGACGGCTGCAACCAAAAAATGGCCGGGCGTTGTGGCGGGCGCCTGTGGTCCCAGCTACTTGGGAGGCGGAGGCAGGAGACTCGCTTGAGCCCAGGAGTTGGAGGTTGCTGTGAGCTGTAATGCCACGGCACTCTACCCAGGGGGACAGCTTGAGGCTCTGTCTAAAAAAAAAAAAAAAAAAAAAAAAAAAAAGAAGTTCCAAAAGAAAAATAAAAACAAAAAGATCAAGCTGTCTCTAGAAGTATAAAAAAGCAAAATTGCTGTAAGAGGAAATTTAATCAGCTGTTCTCACAATAAAAACTATAAAAAGTACTAAATTAAAATAATAAAACACTTTTCACATCACCATTTCTTAAATATACAAAAATGCCTTTCAAAGATGTGATATCACAGTTTGACATTTTTAACAAAACTGAGTCCATTAACCTGTATTTTTTCATAATAAATTTGTGGTTACCTTCAGATCCCATGATGAAGTGATGGATATCAGGGCCTGTTGACATACGAGGTCCTTGACAGCTTTTTTCTATTATACCTCTAGGTGTTACCATTTTTATATGAACCACCTGTTTAATACAATACATGATGTAAATTCTAGACATCTGTCATTAAATGTATGTATACACATTCATATATATTTATATAAAACACTACTTTTTAAGTATTAGATCAAATGATAAATTGTGATGCTCTTAGTAATTCTTAGGCTACAGGTAAATTTGTATATAACCTTAAAAGAGGAAAAACACATTCTAAGATTGTACACCTCTTGATTTAAATTGGTTTAGGCATATTCTTCACCTTAAGAATAAGAAAACACATTTTTCAAAGCAATTCTAGTGCAATCCATATGGTGAAGAACTAAAGTACTTAAAAAATAAGCAATGATTTTACCTTAAAAGGTACATTCTTTCATTTATTTAGCAATATTTATAAAATACTATTATTCATGTCAGGCACTGCTCTAGATGCTCGGAATTCTAAGAAGAAATTTATTCTTGCCTTTTCTCCACTTTCAACCCCATTTAGTGGAAAGAGTGAAAAGAATTAAACATCAATTATAATCAGGTCAAATTTGGGATGAAGAAAGAGAAATAATGACTAACTGAAAGAGGAGAGTGACATATGATCCATCACACAAGTGAGAAATTAAGTATATTGGGGAAGGAGGATCACTCTAAGAAACTGATCTTGGGATCTGAATCAGTAATGGTTAGGTCAAAATCCAAAATTATCTTTTGAATGGATTCTTGACAAATAACAAGTATATTTATCATGAAGGAAATAAACAAAGGACATCAATAAGCAATTCACAAAATAAGAAATAAAAATCACCAATGAGGACATTTAAAAAGTTTATATTCACTAATACAAAAATACAAAATTAAAAGACAAAACTATAAAGGTTCAGTAAAATACAAAGGTTCTCATAGCGCTAGAAGGAATGTCAATTGGTATTTGTTCAGTGCACTCTCAAAATAATTCAAAACATGAACACAATGTGATGATATAGATCATTCCTTCCGCTTTAGACTTCTGCTTCTGATCTTATCTACAACTTGGGTGAATGGCTAAGATAGCAGTCACATCGAGTCATTGAATCTGTCTTTTAAAATTGAATACATAAAACAAATAAGTTTTTTTCAAAGATGGGGGAGTCAAGGTGCATTTAGCTTGATGGGGCATGAAGGATGCTCTTGGGCTGAAGGAAATACTGTGAATATCCATGGGCATTTGCTTTGCACTGCAGTATGTGCATTTGCCAAAATATGTCAAATGAAAACCAGCAAAAATACGTACATTTCATTGTATACATGAAGAAATGATATAATAAATGAAAATTATAAAGTTGGAAAAATGACTTATGTAAAGATCCACAGAAGAAAAATAAATTTAATATTAGACCTGGCTTTTAGTCTTGACTATGCACTTTAAGTGTTATCTTAGTAAGCAGGCTAAACATGAATGAGTTTTATTTTATTTATCTGAAAAAAATGCTTAAAATAATAACAGTAACTATAGCTGACAGGTTACTGAGTGTATGTGAAGTGTCCAGTAAAATATCTGTTTGAATAAAGCAGGTTCTTAACTAAAGAAAAAAGTGGATATTATGAAGAAAAAAAAACTAGGAGAGAAATTCTTCTCATATTTATCAAATTCCCATTCCTTTAACAAAAAGGCAAAGATTATTCATAATTACCTTTTGTTCTAAGTTATGATTTCAAGGATCATAGCTTACATTATGTGTTAAGGGCTATTACACATTTAATAATTTAACTATAATCAAAATATATAAAACATTTGTAGTAAAGAGATATTCACTAAATTAAGAAGTATTTGAGTTGGACTATAGTTGGAATTTCCTTAAAATTACCATGAAAACAAGTACGGACTAGAAGTTAGGATGAAAAGTTAATCTCATACAGAGAAAAAACTTAAGATTTCTGAATCTTTTTTTTAAGAGACAGAGCCTCAAGCTGTCCCCCTGGGTAGAGAGCTGTGGCATCAAAGCTCACAGCAACCTCCAACTCCTGGGCTCAAGTGAGTCCCCTACCTCAGCCTCCAAAGTAGCTGGGACCACAGGCGCCCGAATATTTTTTGGTTGCAGCCATCATTGTTGTTTGGCGGGCCCAGGCTGGATTTGAACCCACCACCTTGGGGGGGGGGTATGTGGCTGGCGTGTTAGCCACTTGAGCCACAGGCGTGGAGCCAAGATTTCTGAATCTTAAGATGCTAAAAATTTAGACTAATTACCTTTAGATTTTTTCAAACAGTGAAAAAAAGTGAGTATCATACTTTAAATATGCACTGTATTAAATACATTAACACATTCTTAATTTACTTTTTTTTCATGAGTTCCATTGCAGCCACACAGATTAAAAGAATATCAACTTTGGTAAAGTTTTCATGAATACAATGTAATTAAGATAGTTTCAGAGGATACTATATACTGCAAAGAAATTCAAAAATAAAATGTGCTAATTATTAATGCAAATAAGTACATTAAGATGCACACTTTATGATTTGTGTCGCTTAAATATCTTTAAAAATGATTATATCATACACTTTAGCAGGGCTGAATATAGCAGTCTATAACACATTTGCCAAACACTGACAAGGTTCTTAATAATCCAATTGCAAAAGGATCAAATTTTCTACCCTGAAATGGAATTTAGTTATTTCAAGTGCAAAAGAAAATGTGTTCTTCTAAATTTCCTCAATAAAAGAAAATAAACAAGAGAATATAAAAATTTTAAGGTGTTCATAGTATATACAAAAGTTTTTAATTATTGGGTGTTAACTATTAAGAACCAATATAGTTCATTAAAGATCTGATACTAAGATCGAGGGAGAGTGAAAGGTGGGATCACACCTATGTGCATAATGCAACGGTACATGTCGGATCTATTAAGTATAGAGTATAAATGTCTTAACACAGTAATTACAATAATTAAGTAAATGAGATGAGGTATGTATTAACCAGTGCGATGTAAGCATTTCTAATTCTATATTAAATCAGCACAATGTACCCCATAAATGCATGGATGGAACATGATCTAAGAGTTATTTAATTAAAAAAATTTTTTTTAAATCTGATATTCTTATCAACAAAGAAATTGATGAAAATTTTGAAACTTTAGATTTGAAAAGCAAAGCTAAGTAGCTCTAGGAATAGTGTTAGGAACATCTGTTTTAATAGTTTCATAAATTAAAGTTCTTTAAAACTATCATCAAAATATTGAAAATAAGAGAAGTAACATTTATGAAGCACCCACTACACACCATTTTATGTTCTTTACTCCTTATAATTCTATGCAGCTAATATCATGACTTGAGAGGAAACTGAAATTTAGAAAGGTGAACTAATTTGCACCAAGTCAAATTGCTAATTACTGGAAAAATTACAAACAGAACAAATGATACCTAATTCCTATCTAAGAATCCCATACTTAAAATCTCATCACGCTAACTCCCAGCAAACTGGGATCACATGAGCTAAAACAAAATGATACGCACAAAAAACACTGCAGGTGATACCACTACTTATTAGAACAATTTCAATCAGGCTCTTCAGTTTTAAATCAAAAAAATATTTTAAGAAAAATGTAAAATCTTTGATGGCAACAGAGAGGCAATGATGATATCATGTAAATAAATGGACTAAAATCTTCAGACCTCCCCCAAGGATACTGAAATCCATGGATATCAAGTCCTCTATAAAAAACAACGTAGCACTTGCATACAACCTATTCACATCCTTTCATATACTTTAAATCCTTTCTAGACTGCTTGCAATACCTAATACAATGTAAACACTATGTAAGTAGTTGTCATACTATATTTTTTGTATTATACTTTATTATTGTTGTTTTTAATTCAAATATTTTGAGTTATGGTTGAATCCACAGACACAGTGGATATGGAGGGCTGACTTTATAAGTCAGATGAAACATCTACTATGCTTAAATAGTCACCTGAAAAGGGCATCCTTAAGTAATGAGCACAGTTGTGTCTTTTAATTACTTCTACTATACATATTCAATAATTACACATGGGTCATCATGAAAGTTTTGAGTTACACAAAAAATCAAGAAACTTAAAATCCGTACCAACAAAAACGAATGATACCCTCCCAGCAACACCAATAAGCCAAGCAAGTTAAACCTTACATAGGTGAATCAGCAAGGATGCAGTTGGCTGTGTTTCTTACAAGTGAAATAACAGACCATAACACAGTCTGTCTCAAAACTTTCATAGTGACTCCCACAATGCTTTAAAGGAGTAAACTTATGATCACATCTACCATCCAACACTTAATTTTTAAAGGCTTTTAATAACTTCATTATAATCTCTATGTACTATTATAAAGTAACTAGAAAAATTTACCAGGTCCTCAATATTGCCATAGATATTCTTCTTCATGCCTGATGCCCGAGTAGATACCCATCCTCCCACAGTGCTGAATTCCAGGGAATCTGGTTCATGACCTGTACAATAACCACTTTCTTTTAGCTGTAAAACAAAAGTGTAGCATGTTACCAGTCAAAATGGTCCCATTTCACATAGCACTCCTCCCATTTTAAAATTTCCATATGTCTCTATTATTTAAATTCATTTAAACCTTTATAGCAAAGCAAATACTTTTCACATACTAATCCTAAAAAAATATTTTAAGCTTTTGCCTAGTGGAAAACTTTACAAAACTAAAAAATGTACAACAAAAGCCAGGAAGTAGTATTTTCCACAGGTTCACTAGACAATCTTCCTCTTTACATCCTTTTATTTTAAAGCATGCTGTCCCCATCACTTTTTTTTCTATAAACAGACGATTTAAATACTCATGGAGATCAGATTATCCTTAAATAACTGCCAACTTCACCCAAACACTTTCAATAAATAAAGTACTTAATCTCTTGTTCTCCCTACCCTAATATAATATGCAGCAGGCCTGCAGAAAATCCGAGCAAATTGCCTGTACTTAATTCTCTCAAGGAGTCATGTGTTTTAATGTACAGCCATCTGGCTAGGTTTCCTACACGTAATACCATCATTTACTTGTGATGCGGATCATGCATTCCTGTACATTAAATAGTCGCTTGTTTCTCATTTTTCTAGATTAGCTTGGCTTTGCCATCTGCACAGCACCTGAGGTTGAATGGATGCCCTTTACTGCAATAACACCAAAGCCATTGCTCTGAAATCATTTTAAAGGCTCAGCCATCTCCTGTCAAATGATACAGACAACACCATCTGCATACTCACTGTCTACTGCACTCAAGCCCATCAATCTGTGCTGACCATTCTGATAGTCATCCAGTTAAGCAACTGTTCTATTTTTCAAGTAAGCCATGCAGAAGCATAGAAATGTGTCAGCTATATTTGTACCTGTGTGTTTAAGTATGTGTGAAAGTTGTGATCCAAAATTTGAAAGTCTCTTAGGTTAAATATAATTTGTTTAGTTATCCATACTAGCAATGCAAATCCTTTCAATTCTGCTACCAGAAAAACAAAATTTGAAAAGATATCAATTATTACATAATAAAGGTTTTTTCCACTAAATATTCAATATACATATTTAATTTTAAGAGGTTAATAACCACTCACAAATAAGTAGCTTAAGTACATGGTTACACTGAAGATTATCAGGCTTACATTATATTTCTTTCTTTACTCCACCCCCAAACAAAATAATATGTATTATTATTTTCTCTCAAAACACTACTGCTACTCAATTTTATGCAATTAAGAGATCTCCAAAAAGTACTAGGCACTGAACAAAGAATTTTCACATATTCACATGACAAACCTCTAAACACTACCTACACAAAAGTAGATCATTAAGTATACACTTAAACTATTTCTATCAGCATATCCAATACTAGATATGCTATTAATGTCTCATGTCTGTCTAATAGGGATGCTCTGTCATTACTTATGCTGAGGGAGCTCTACTTAGCACACCCATTTTAAATCTACTTCTTTGTTAAAAATCTCACTAAACTCCTACTAAATAATGAAGCAAGCATAATGGTTAAAAACTTGGGTTTGAAACTAGCTAGAAAATACCCATACTACAGTATGCACATTTACAATAGTAAAAGACAAACAGTGCTGATAAATGGTATCTAATACATTCAACTTCTTCCTCCTTTAAAAGTCTGTGTCTGTTAACGTCATTAGCTGCTAAAAAGAATATGCTAAAGAAAGGTCCACAGATTTACTCATATACTTAATCAAATATTCCTTTTTAATAAAACAAGCTCTCTGCTCCATTCTACACTAGATAAAAATAACCACTCTCCAAGTGCCATGAAGCTCTATAGGAACAGGAACTTTACCTTACTCACTTGTGCCCCCTCTCAATACTGAAACAACAAACATTCAATGACTATGTGCTAAACTTCAGATACAACACTTAAAAAACGCAAATGCTCCAGCCTGGGCAAGAACAAGACCCCGTCTCTAAAAAAAAAAAAAAATAGCAGGCATTGTGGAAGGCACCTGTAGTCCCAGCTACATGGAAGCCTGAGGCAAGAAGATCACTTGAGCCCAGGAATTTGAGATTGCTGTGAGCTGTGATGCCACAGCACTCCACCAAGGGGGACAAAGTGAGACTCTGTCTAAAAAACTAAATAAATAAAAATCCTAAAGTGTGGCACTTGTATTACAGAGAAGGAACGAAGGGAATGAAATTAACAAGAAACATAATTAAATTATACCAAATAATCAGAATTGCAATGGGAAGAATAAAAAGTACAGCAAAATTTCTCCTCAACACAAACTGAAGTAAAAAGGACTACATTTGACTCCCAAATAAAAAGACCAAAACACTCAGAAAAAGAAGAAACAAGTTTTCAAACACTGAAGATGTAGTAACAAAGAACAATGATCCCTGTAAGGACGCAAACAAAGGAGGTGGGCATTGTGACTGACCCTAGCTTAGCACTCCAAGGAAAAGGGAGTCTAGGCAGAAGCTGGCCAACACTGAGTTGAGCTACTGTTGCGCTGTGGTCGAGCAAGGCATCTAGAATTCACAGGAGAAAGTAAAGAGGAGACAGCAGCACAGAGAGAGATGCCTGGAGATTTGCAAAGGGTCCCTCTCAGGTCTTCATTTGAATAGTAAAAAGCCCATGCAAGTGAGTAACATACCCTAAGACCAGAGAAAGAAACAGAGAATAGTGCCATCATTCACACAGAGCTAGAAACCGTACCTGTTCCTCCCAGCCTGACTGGAAAAACTCTAATTCTGAGAATTAAATAGAATACCCAGAAAGGTCATATATCAGTAATGAGAAATAATTAGCCCCAGACTGAGAAAAAGCAAAACATCATAAAAGTAAGAAGTAAACGATTAAGCTATTTCCAAGTAAGTATATCCCAGAAAAAAAGCTCAAGAATACTTTCAAAATTAAATAACATTCAAGACACAAGACAAATTCATAATTATTGGCATCTAACCAAAAATTACTAAGCATAGTAATTTTAATAAAGAAGCGGAAACACAACCCATAATGAGGAAAATAATTATGAGGTGAATAATCAAAGCCAAACTAGAACTAACACAGATGCTAGAATTACCTGACAAGAACATTAAAACAGTTGTAATTGTATTCCATATGTTCAAAAAGTTAAGTGGAGACACAAAAGATAAAAGACCAAAATTAAATATTTGAAGATGAAAAACGTCTGAGATTTTAAAAAAACTTTCCCAATACTTTGGGAGGCTTAGATGAGAGGATGACTTGAGGCCAGGAGTTCAAGACCAGCCTGGGCAACATGGACAAACCCCCATTCTCGCAAACAAATCAAATAAATTAGCTAGACATGCTAGGACCTGCCTGCAGTTCTAGCTACTGAGGAGACTGAGGCAGGAGGATCCTTTGAGTTCAAGAGTTTCAGGCTGCAGTGAACTATGATCATGTCACTGTACTCCAGCTTGGGCGAGAGAGTGAAACTTCATCTCTTAGGGCAAAAAAAAAAAAAAAAAAA